CCATATATTATTCATGCCTAACTGAAATCCAGTGGCGTGGAATATACCTCGGTCAGAAACAATAGTGCTGTCGACGTTCCCGACTCTCGTATATTATTCATGCCTAACTGAAGTCCAGTGGCATGAAATATATCTTGGATAAATATAGGGGCTAACTTTCACATTTTGGTAGAAACCCTGCTGGCATGGTTCATTAAGTCGAGAAAAGAGATTCATATGATGCTTGATATCATGGAACAAGGTATTAAGCACGGGCATGGCTTTGGGACTTAAGTGGTTAAACATACTTCCTTTCAAGATACACACAGTATTCAGAATGATTCATTATGTCAACCGAAACTACGGCATTGCTGTTAGGAATTTCGAACACCACAATATCACGCAAACGGAAGTGATAAAAGATATTGAGACAACAATTTAACATGATTCAATTTGTACACTTCTCAAGAAGTTTAATTACGTTCACGGGAAAAAAATAAATAAATCCACTATTAAAAAATAAGTACAATAATTTAAAAGTTCTCTCACTTAAGAAACTCTCAATATCTTAATTTCAATATATAGAAACTCTCAAATTCTCACTAATATTCTCTCTTAATCTATACAAGGATTTTTTCACAATTTTTCTCTTTTTTTTCTCTCACAAGAGCTCTCACTCAATTCCTCTTGCTTTCCGCCACTCTTGCTTACTCATTGCCTTTGCATGCATGGGTATTTATAGTGAAAAATCCAACCACCCATGCACCTTTTTTCTTTGTCTCATTACCACCCGTCCAAGATTTTCTTTACTCATTAAATGGGTCAACATGCAATCTTGAAAGATTTCAACAAAGCAATCTAGCCCACAATTGGCTTATAGGGCGGTGAAGCAAACTTCCACATGGAAAGTCCATGTGTTCACATGCATGGGGTTGGACTTTTTACTAACAACTGCGACAGTCACACAAATATGTGAAATTGTTGATTCTTGTCAATTGATTCTTATTCAGGTTGCCGCATTTGTAAGAATTAGGGCATATGAAATTATTTGATTCAACAGTAGTTCAAAACTTCTTCAAATTGGGCACCAAGGTACCTTTTCTTCATATAAAAATAGAAGTCATGAAATAGTTAAATAATTTCATTCATGGTAATTAATCTATTTTTTAAGCTAATTACATCTAATTAGGCTTGCATGCATTTTGTCGATGCAAACACTTGCAAAGAAAAAGGAAAATACTTCTAAGATTCATGTTGCTTCAGCGGTTGGAAACTACTTATCAAATGTTCCAACATTTCTGACACTTGTCAGGAATGATAAATTTCTAGAAGGCAGAAGCTATTCTAATAATAACCGGGGCTTGCTGAGCCATTATGTTTTACCTTTGTGAGTCTCTAACTGGTTTAAACCCTGAAATGAAGAATTTATTCATCTCCATGGCACGTTGCATATTGATTTTTGATAATGCTTTTATTCACATTCAAGCAAAAATTAATCATGTTGGTTGAAATGTTTCCTATGTCGAACAAATCAGGTTATTTTATACCTGTAAGAAATGTTTCCCATGCAATCTGTATTCAAGCAGATATAATTTTAGGAATGGAGGGAAATTGAATCGAATTACAGATATATGCAAGCAGAAATTTAAAGAATGAATGAATTTTTGAAGTCTTATAGGTGTTCCCAGAGATAGTTGAAAATAGGTCTTCCTGGCACTGGTATGCCCTTGACAATCCAGCCAAGGGGCCAAGAGACAACAGCTATGGCTAGGCAGGCAACCCATTGTTCCCAATTCAACCTCTCTATGTCGGCAAACTGCTTCAAAAACTCCACCATGACCACCTGGAGAAAAATTGTTAACCCAGCAATTACCAAAAACCTTTTGTTCTTCTCAATGCCCTCGAATATGTTCTTCTTCTTGAACTTCCTAGCATTGAATTCATTGAAAACTTGGCAGAGCACAAACGCGTTGAAGATCAAGGTATCATTTACGGCCTCTGTCACACCGAAGATTAATTTCCCTTTGTATTGAAGCGTCAGGAGCACTGCTATCTGGTAAAAAGCTTGAGTTAGGAGGTTTCTCCACATGATGTTGGTAATGAGGGGCTCCTGGCCAACCGGTTGCTTCTCCATCGACCCTGACGTGGGCTCCTCTGTAGCCAGAGCCAGAGCACCCAATGGGCCCGTGATCAAGTTCACCCACAACAACTGGACAGTCTCTAAAGGAACTTTGCTCGAAGATATGGCTGCCACGATGTTGATGACTAAAGCAGCAACGTTTATGGTGAGTTGGAATTGGATGAATTTCTTGATGTTGGTATAAACACATCTTCCCCACCTCAAATCTGTGGCCACATTTTCAAAATGATCATCCAAGATGACAATGTCGCGTACCTCAGGATCGTTCATACCGGCGACTGCAACTACGTGTCCTTTATCTTTCAGGCATTGCAACACAAGACGTTTCCTACTAGGAGATGCTCCTGCCAGGACGCAAATTTTGTCGATTATCTCCTTCCCCTGCTCTGAGGTATATTTCCTGATGAATTCCTCGACTTCCATGACAGCACTACTTTCCATTTCCTCATCCGGTTGGAGAATCCCACACTTACTAGCTATAGCTTTTGCAGTTAAGACTGCTAGACACTGAAAAGAAGGAGAAATATCTGAAGAAAGGTTTATTGCTTTCTTGAATTATACTGTGTGTACAATGACCTATATATAGGTGTTTACAAAAAGAATATTCTAAGGTATAAAGTATACAAAGAGAATATTTTAAAGTATAAAATATTTACAATAATTCTAAATATAATTATGTTCACATCTTAACATCCCCCCTCAAACTCAAGGTGGTTGTGATGAAAGTGAAACCAACTTGAGTTTGGAAAGAAGAGTACGAAAACGTCCAGGAAAATGAGCCTTGGTAAAGAGATCTGCTGGTTGATCAGCGGAGCCAATGAAAACCAAATGAACAGTTCCTTGTGCAACATGATGACGAATAAAGTGACAATCAACCTCAATGTGTTTAGTGCATTCATGAAAGACATCATTATGAGCAATCTGCATAGCACTTTGATTATCACAATATAAATCAGTAGAAGAAGGTTGAGAAATGCCCATATCTTTAAGAAGCCACCGCAATGAAAGAAGTTCTGATGTGGTATCCCCGAGAGCTCTATTCTCAGCTTCAATACTAGAGCGAGATGGAATAGCTTGTTTCTTACTTTGCCAAGAGATGTGAGAATTACCAAGGAAAAGACAGTAACCGGTGGTAGATCTACGATCAGAAGGATCACCGGCCCAATCAGCATCAGAGTAAGCACGAAGCACAGGGGAGGAGTTGGCAGAAAAATGGAGTCCATGAAATAATGTTCCCTTAACATAGCGAATAATGCGAAGTACTGCTGCATAATGAGTGGAGCGAGGAGCAGCCACAAACTGACTAACAATGTGAACTGCATATGCTATATCAGGGCGTGTCGTAGTAAGATAAACCAGACTACCAACCAATTGCCGATAGCGAGTAGGATCAGAAAGTGGAGAGCCATCCATAGGTGTAAGCTTGACATTAGGTTCAAG